TTGACAGACGACAGTCCACTTGACTTCACTTGGGGGCACTATTGAGGACTAAGGGGAATCATCTCCCAGTTAAGACCGACTCACTCAACCACCTGGCTTGAAACTGATAACTTTTAAGAGACAACCTCTAACAAAGACCACTCTAGGTCTCCTCATGGAGCGAACTCTCTTCCCAGCAAAGTAGAGGATGAAAAGTTCGCCTTTTGGAAATTCGTCGATCAAGGCGCCAAGAAGCACATGATCAGTGGGTTGAGGTTTCCAAACACGATTTTCATCACCATGGGCCTTAAATCTCCCCAAACTAGACAACCCTATGAGATTTCGCCGCACTGAGGAGGAGGATCAACATGTCCCGTCGTCCATGACTAGAAAGGACTAATTTGGTGGCCTACTGGGAAGCGGAACTCGACAACGTGCTTAGGAACTAAAGGCGCGAGACATGAGAGGTGCACCAAAGTCCGGTGATCGGCTGCATTACGCATTCCTTTCATTCATACAGGAATTTTGTTCAGGTCAATGGATCCGAAAATTTCACCTCACCACCGCCAAACAGTGCACGATTTACACTAAGCGGGAAGCAGGATCAGGAGTGTTAAAAAGCTATAATCACACCGTAGAACTATGGCGAATCTTCTGATTGAGAGAGCACATGACATCAACCCTGAAAGACACGATTTAACATAAGGTTCCCGCGAGAAAGAAGGCTTTTTGGGGTTCATTACTTTGTCCTAAAATAATACCTGCGCATCACATGCACTGGCTGATTCCGGCTATCCAGAAAGGATAAAAGTTCACACATTTGACGTCCAGTGCATCACTGACGACGAATTCCTGGTTTACGGTTATGCTGGCATCCATTCTAATCACTTCGAAATAAGGAATTGGAGTTTTTCGGCATTTTCAAATGCAGTCAGAAATCTCGTGGAAAATAACACACGATGGGTTTGCTTCTCAGTGAACTTTCCAGTGTAAGATATGACGAATGAAGTCTTTTCTATAAGAGCACAGCACCCTGTCTAGTGATGGTCGCCAGCCAACGCACCATGAATTTGGTCAGCGATCATTGATTAGTTTCCATCATACTGGGACGCCGTGTATACTTGAGGGTTTTATCAAGGCACGCTCCCGGAGCACAGTCATACACACTGAAACAGCTAGAGGAACATGTGGGTGTACTACAGCACAGGTCGGTCGACACTAAACAGTTTGTTTACACATATTTTAGAACTACAATCTACATATCCACTGCAGTAAGCGGAGGTAGATCCGAAGTGTCTTACACGATAATGCAATGACGCAACCCAAATAGGCATTTCGACAAACGTAACCAAATGCCAGTTGATTGCAAATTCCCATGGTAGTGGACGGGCAACAGCCACCCCAGGAGAGACTCTCCTGGATTAAGGCCGTTTCAGTTCAGTCGTTTGAGATTAGCCTTGAAGTTGATAAAATTTGAGGGGCCATTTCTAATGTCTTGGTGGTGTAAAATACCATACCAACTATGGACAAAGTCCGAAATCTGTGTACTAGGCTTTTATACAGGTTTGCACCAATAATTCGTATTATTTCTTTCGCCAGTCAAGCAAGTGGAAAAAACCAAACCAAAACGCACAGGGAAACGGGCCAACGAGAACGGAGTTGCTGAAACGTGTAGCGCCAGTTAGGTATCCGAAAGATGGTGTGCAAAAATCTTGTTCCTTCCAAATGATTAAACTTCGCTCTTTTAAAGAGACAAACGTACGCTTGCTTTTTCGGAGACCACTTCAAAGGAATGACCCTAAGCCCTTTCTCCTGCAATTTGGTCTATTTGGGAGCAAACAGAGTGAAAACCGGCTTCTCCTCAGAGATGGAGAGTTTAAACCACAAAGCATGAATTCAGTCACTGGAGGTCTCTATAGCGCAGAAAATCAATCGATGATCCAGAAAATATGTCAAACACTGCACGTGCCCTAAAGTAGGGTCACGATCCTCATGCACTTGTTCCAGTGCACAACTGTATAACCAGCAAAATTTGCCTGGTCGTTCCCTCTAAGTGGCCCTTGTTCGAGACAACTACTCGGTCATAGGAGACAGATAACCTTTATCTCCTTCATCGGCGAAATACAAACCCATAGGTTTGATTGAGATACTGCGTTGTAGTGCAGTTTCGCTTATGACAACAGTATTTTATTACCTGAGGGTAGCTTATTCCGGACCACATAAGGCACATTGACTTCTCACAAGGAAAACCTAGGTGATATTCTGTCCTATGATGAACATATGTACCCAGATACCCATCCACGTCATCGCCTTGGGACTACGTTGCTGTGAACTCCATGCACGTGGTCACAACTAACCTCTATTTGATTGGGTCAAGATGGCAGGATGCTTGAGTGCGAATTAGCTGATGACACATCGCGAGGATGCCGGTAGTCAGTCGCATGACAACTGCTTCCAAGCTTCACGGCAAACGAAGAGCTCAAAGGAGATCTGCTAAAATACCATAGCGTTTGCAAACGTTTCCCCTACTTTTTGTTTATTTGTGCCACAATGTATTTTTGTTTACAGTGCAGTGTTTTGTGGCTCTTAACATACATTCACGTCCAACCACACACACACACCAATGGGTCAGCAAGCAGTCTCTCGGCTCGCTCAGTTCGATTATCGCTCATTTCTGAATGTAGTTCAATATGAATTGATCTAGTTTCGCCCGTTGTAGGGAATTTTGACTGTGAATTGCATGCGGTAAACTCTGTTGTGGCAATCCGTATTTCGGAAATCAGATATGCTAACGTAGTGGACGCGGACATCGTTCACTTATTTCCGGGCAGACTATTCTTAGTATAGTTTGTATTAAAATACATATACTATTATATTTTTCATACTTATATTCACTGTTAAACGAATCTTCGGTCCTCTATGTTAGGATATAGAGCTGAACTAGTTGTGATCCAGCCACCTGATACCCTCACTCCGTGTCCATACACAAGACCAACCGTGTCCTGAGGGCTGTCACTTGTGGCTGCCATTCGACAAAATGTCAAATCGTTTCTCAAAACGAGACCAGCTATCACATCTTAGCAACGTAATGCGAGATGCTCTGTGAATTGGTTTACTCACAAGAGATTGAGAACTGGAGGTACGGATAGAAAAATCAGCGTATTTTAGTACTTGTATATGTAACGTCCATCCATCTAGGCCTAAGGAGCAAAACACCCCATGGTAAGACATCCGATTGTAGTGACCCGACAAATTGCACTAAAACCCGACTTTCATCCTACTGGAGAACAAGGACGAACAAGACGAATCAGTTAGGACCATTTCAATCCGCGAAACAATAACATCGAACGACATGAAAGGTCTCATCAAGGGGACGATCGCTATTCCGGCCGCGTTTTTGCGATTCCAGTTGAACCGGTTAAAACGCACCGATGGATGGATCACCGGTACTGGATTACTGGTACTGATAGTCTGCTGCGATCAAAGAGGGCCGTTACGCGTGTCGTCATTGTATGGATCCTTCGCCACCAGAGATCTAGCCTGTTGGTTTGGCTGCGACCTAACCCACATTCGCAGTGGAAACGCATGTATTCGTTTGGCAGGTCGACGGGAGTTTACTGAAATAATATCAGTGACAGTGCCGGTATCAGTATAAAGGCTTCACACTTTCCCTAAACGAGTAGTCTGCCCATAATGTAACTAAATCCGTGCGATCTTTGATTCCATTGAGTTAAAACCGGTCTTTTACGACTGGATACGACGACAATGTCTGGCAAAGTTCCTCAGCAGTTGGCTAACTTCAGAGTTCTCATTCCGGGCTACATACCTTCTTCGAATTGGCAGCAGATGCACATTCCGGCGCTCGTCCAATCAATAACAGTTAAAAACGAATTGGTGTACAAATTAGTGTAGTTCGCCAAATGAGTCCGATTTGGGTTAAAGTAGAACACAAGGTTGACGGAAACGCGGGGACTGCACCTACCTGATGAGCCCGGAAGGCGAAGCTAAGCGTTGACTGTCGGGAGACTTACAACAACCTTATGAAGTGTTCCCACGAATAACTCGTTGTCAGTGCCACAATGGAAGAGGCCTACAGTTGTGAAACGAATGTGTACTACTCATGGTCAGCGAAGCGCCATGGCGCTTCAGAGCATACCTGAATGTTCATTGACAAACAATTCAACTTTGGCACAATTCAGGCTTGGCCGTCCATCTGAGACGGAGACCTGGCATGACTCAGCCGTCTGCCGAGAGTCGGCGTATCCTGACGCATTATACCACTGTTAGGCACTTATTACTACAGTGGTCACATGCTGGCAACTACTCGACCCCGACAGCCCATACCAAAGGTCCTCTCGATGACATCGTATTACTGTAAATTTCAGGTTTGACTTGACTTGGACCAGCTCCGCACTATTCAATGCTAATGAAGCACGGTTGCAAATTATCGATGCCTCCGAAGTAGTTGTCAATATTGGACTATCCGTGGTTTTCGGAAGAAAAGTCCTCACAACGGAGGGCATAGTCAAGCCTTGCGCACCTGTCTGCCTGCTAGGGATTTCTCTTCTAGCCGTGCACTGATGGAAAGGGCGAATCGATAGCTGACTAGTAAGCAAGAGCTGGTGACCAATGATTCCAAGCACACAGAGCTCCGGACATATCAGTGGTTGCATACGACCAAGCCAGCCAACCAACAACGTTCCGCCACAAACTTTACTGCTTCTAATTTCCTTTCTTCAAACAACTTCCTTCCTTAATGGACCAGGCTTATTGCGAAAAATGTTGACATAAGCACTCCTACAAATGCCGAATTGTATTCAGACTACCATTCTGGGCGCCGTATTCACTCCTTTACGCCTAGCGTTTCTACTCCTTTTCAACTAGTTTATTTTCGTTACCACATAATTTTAGCGAAAAATACCATACATAAACCTTTTTTTGTGTGCCCAACATGGCGCCGAATATTGAACATGAGTCAGCTCAACATGCGAGCGCTCAAATCGAATAATGGAGTCAGACAAATTCAGAAACACCATTTATTCAAGTATATTACCGGGACAACGATGCGATTAACGAATAAGAACTTCAACGAATCAGAGACAAGATAGCACGGAGAAAAAATGCACTCGGTACCTAACGGCGAGTAGCGTCAACAAAAACAACTTTCTGATCCCCATGAACACGAGCAGAATGTGGCGTGTTGCGTGGGACCTCGAGGCGATCCCCCGGACCAAGGATAACCTCTTTGCCGAACATTTTGAACCAAAGTTGGCCGCTTACGATGCAGTCCATCTTATCTTGTGAATGGGTGTGCTCGGGGAAGCTAGTGCCGGGACTGAACTCGTAGTCCACGCAACCGCATCCCTGAAAGAGAGCCCAGCAATAAAAAATGAGTAGTTAGCATGCATTAATGTCGTGGAGAGGCTAACACGACGAGCAGAATCACGCAACCATAAAACAGATAGCACTTGTGAAATTATGGAAAGATGGGTGGGGACAGTCCATCATGCGCTCAATCTAAACTCACTGCTACCTAGCTGCGACACATTCGTAACGACCATGTCGATTGCTAATAAAAATATGTGGGGCTTTTAGGATGTCCATGCCTAGAATCGTACACACATGGCCTGAGGTACAGAGAGCCGTTCAGAAACCTTAGACTCCACGATATGAGCTGACAACAATCGAACGAAGCGAGAATGGCTAGAAGAGATTTCAGACAAAGGAAACCAACTGGCTACAGTAGCAGGAATGTACTGTTTACTATCTACTACGCATCCTTACAATAAGCAACTCTTCCAAAAAAATGGAGCTCACTTTTTTGACGTGGCACTATTGATAACGTTGATGAAATTTGGGATTCGTCAGGTGGGCTTAGTCCCTGAGTTTTCATTAATCCTAGTCCGTACGTGACGATCAAATTGGACGTACGTATGGATAGGTATTCATAAGTCACGATGGTGTTCGTTGGAAAATAAAGTGAATCATGTGTTTATAATATTCTTCAACTGAATGTGCTGCACAAAGGACGCCTACTATTTTAATCGGACTGATATTCAAGATAAAAATGAATTTTTGTTGCTGCGACACGAATTGATAAATACTTTTGGATACATTATTACCGACTTCGCGCCCTGTACCCCGACTGTCCCGAACTCCGTTCAGTTTAGTTTAGTTAATCGGCTATAAACCAGGTATAAAGGATATGCTGGTCTCAGTTGCTACAGTTTCGATCACCGGAAAGGGGGATAGCGTTGGAGATAACGCCAACTATTGGAGACGATGGCATGATCAATAGGTTTGGGGAACTGGGCAGGCACGCGTTGAAGACGATAGCTTCGATGCGTGAGTGCCACTGACTGCGTGATTGAGTCGTCTCCTTATCGGGTTATCGGAACAAATGTGAAACCTCGCGGGAGATTTGATAGAAGCGGTCTCCAGCACCACTTGTAGTCCTTCGACAGAGAATATCCAACTGTCTGGACTATCCAGTTGTACATGTCTACAAAATGGTTCAGCTGAAACGCCCTTTTTGTGTCTAGCTGTCATGCCACCCGAAGGAAGCACGAGGGCTGAGATACTGCCGGATTGCCAAAGCCTAAGCAGGAGCAGTCGAAATGCATATATTGGGTTTGAACCACGGACATTTCGGTCAGTAAGTTCGCTCCCTGGCCACTGAGCCATCTCGAGCAATCTACGTACCCCACACATTAGGATCTCTGTTGTCGGAACCCTACTTTTATCATCTACACCGAATTCTCTGATGTGCGCTTCGCATGCGACGGGATAGCTGCACCAACCGAGACGTTGAGAAATGACATGTCGTGATACGACCGTAGTTTGTAGGAGCCACTGGCACCAATGGTTAATGAGTTGCGTGACGCAGAGGTAGTTGTTGACTTTACAAGCCCTAAATACCCTGAATCCTTCGCTGTCCCAGAAGATGAACGAAGCGTTAAGACTTCTGTCCTGAGGACGAAACACACGAGACAGAGGTACAAATACAGCGTAGACGTGTCTAAAGTTAACAAATGTAGCGGCTGCAAATACACAAACTCGCTACTATCATGGGTCATGGGCAGTGGACAATCGATAACGCACCTCAGCCTTGAGTTTTGTAAGCATGGACTGCAAACTGAGTTCGCCATCCTTGGCCGGATCCCAACGATGAATAACCATTTCCGTCATTGTGCTAAATAAGAAAGAGATTGTATCCTCTTAGCAGTTCAGTCCCGGGGAAAGAGGGAGAAATTTTAATTATATACTATACACGAAGCACAGACAAACCAATGAAATAGGTATTGGAAATACCGAGGTCACAAAAAGGGGGACTGAGAGGAGCGAAAAGCTTAGCCAGAGCACCATGTGGCTTAGTGTGTAAGTTGACTGAGTGGACCTGGTTCACTCACACTAAACCAATTTACCCATTCAAAGTTGCGGGATAAAAGGTTAATTCACACAACGCTATAGATGTCCGTCACCAATATCACCCCAGAAGACATCGAAGACCCGGCACTTAGAGGGACTAGTGGTCTCCGAGAAGGCATTCCAATTGAAATGACGGGGGTGTCCAACCGGACTGACAGACCACTAGCGGTACGCGACAAGGTAAATCAACCTAATTTTCAAAACAAATTCACAGATCGGTCTCAAAAGCACGACCTCATCAGCTTGCATACCATATAATGATGGATAAAGATAAAATGAACATCCCGATAACCAGAAGCAATTGAAGAGCCAAGTTTGGGTTCAAGACACAAGATTTTCCGGTTCGCATATATATATATATATATATATATATATATATATAATGTATGAAGGGACAGCATTCCGTATTGAACCTCAGAGTGAAGATAAGCGACAGGGGGCCAGGATTAGAAACAATTAATGTGGGAGTGCATTTTAGAGTGCCACTGAAGAAACGATCGGTGCCGCGTAAAATCTGTTTAATTACTGGTATTCCTGGCGTACGTATCAGGAACATGTAGACACATGGGTCTCCTGCGAATACACACCATTCGGTATTGCACATGAAAGTGCAAACACAAGACCAGATGCCAGGACTATAATTAGGATGGGAAGTAAATAGCTTATCACAGCAAATCGACGCTGGAGTGCTTTGTCGAGAGAAGTTCAAAGATGAAGCAGACAGCAGAGCTTTGATCAAGTACTCATGCGTACGCACAGAGAGCGCAAAGTCTGTGATAAGCACGGGTTTCATATGTTGGTACACTAAAGTGGTACCAGACGACATTATAGATGTTGTCTACAGAATTAGGAAGTGGTAGCCGGGTTCTGGTGTCCAGTTGTGGAAAAGTGCAGTGGCTTTCTGCTCGTATTTGACAAAGGCAACTAACTGAATTCGTTCACGTCATCTGACAGTCTTATCAACCATCTCTGTGGTGTAACTGACAGATGGGAGACGGTACACCTGTTTACAAGCTCAGCATGCATATAGCAGTAGGAGACGGATCTACGGAAGTCTTGAGAAGACCATCATCAAGCCCGGGGCTGTGAAGTAAGGTTCACGTCTAATATCACGCCGAATGAATGAGAAATCTGTGGCTTCTTGAGGGTTATGTGCTGTGGAATTAGTGCAAGGTTGGTGGGCTTCATAAGCGAAACTGGCAAATCAGATCATCAACTAGAAACGCTGTAGAGGACAATAGTTCCATATAGAATGATTGATTTAGAAGTAAGGCGAGAATATGCGAACGAATGGACAAGCATTGAAGGGAACAGATGGTGCGAAAGTGAGGAAGCGAAATGCTGGTTAGAGTTGTGAACTAAAGGGAATGACAAAGATGCCTGAAAAAAGACAGGCATGTGTGACGGCATCTCTAATCGGTTCATTCCCACAGAATTCATTGAGACGACAGATACTTATGGGAGCGAGATGGCTCAGTGGTTGGGGTGCGATGTTAATGACCGAAAGGTCTGTGGTTCGAGCCCCATATCTGCATCTCGACTTCCCCTGTCTAGGCTTGGGCAATCTGGCAGTACCAAAGCCCGCGTGCTTCCTTCGGGCGGCATGGCAGCTAGGCATCCAAAGGGTGCTACTGCTGAACCCATGCAACTGTGTTCATGTTCGTTCAGTCACATTTGCCGAATCATCATGCTGCACAATTCGACAGATTATCTTAATAATTTTCTCCTCCCCCTCCACACACCAGAACTCCTGAACAGATGTTATGTACCTACTTTACAATCTTCTACTATTCAAAGCTTAAGCAACAAGCCCATATTGGAACCACTTTGGTTTTTGTGTCAGGGAGCTAACCTTCCTTTGCAAAATCTCACTTTAGAGCCGCACCATAGTTTGACCACGGAAGACAGTTCCTGGTACGCAAGTGGTTCTTTTATGGAGTGAGCATTTGGCAAGACTCAATCCTTCGGATAAAACCCGAAAGCTTTCGAACGGGTGAACGCAGTGATCGCGCTGCCAAAAGACCCCGGAGCGTTTCAGCCCAGATGTTCGTCCGTCATCCTTTTCAACAATATACGACTGGTCCCTTTGAAGAGACACTCAAATGAGGACCGGCTAAAAGGGAACACGACCAGTAAAAGATACTCATGATCATCAGCTGTAAGAACCACACACTTGTGATATAGTGGTTACAGCTGTCAGTTTCGTTTATCAATGTTTTAGAGAGATAGAGAAGGTAGCTGCGCATTAGAGGCGGGAGCCGATATAAATGATACGTAAATACAGGGCAGTCAGTGGACTTTTAATTGGAGAGATCGGGAGGGGATTTATGCAACGAAGGCAATAACTTAGGTGCACGAGCGCCATTGAGGGCGCGACTGGGCCATGTCTGCCAATGCTTCTAACCACCGTCTCAGAGTCCTCATACAGGCAGATGACAGTGATCAGCACAACTGAGTTTGCTGGTGATAGCTTTCATACTTAGCTGCCAAGTCATTGTTTGACCTCCCCTGGATCGTTTTCACCCTTCGGGCGGCTATGTGAAAAGAGCCTTTGGAGGAAGTCGGTCCACTGGTACACGCAGCACTTGGCCAATCCAGCGCAACCTATGGAGTGTGATCAGTTCATCTATCTTGGGCGTATTTCTTCTGAAGACCACTCGACGTACCTCAGTACTAATGACCCACTGAAAGTCTCTTAACATCCATAACGCGCAGCGGCCAGGTTTTTGACCCGTATAACAATATGGAGCGTACCACGGCACTGTAAACTCGACTCTTGGTGGATAAGCTGTCACGCCTAAGCCACAGATGATGCAGGTTGACGAAATCTTCTCTGGCCTTACTAGAGTCAAAGAGCTTTCGAGTTGAGGAACGCAACCAGTTTGTCGCCGTTCTAGAATCTGTCGGAGTGAAAATGTGATCGATGCATTCTGTTGGAGGACAGAGTCCAGCTTGGTTTTCACGGATCTGTCTCTCACTGTGTTCAGTTAACCCTCGAATGATAATACCAGAAACTCAGGCTGATGCCACGGTGGTTTACACGGCGTCTGAGCGCTCTTTTTGAACAAAGGAATAACTGTCGACATGTCCCATGCTGCAGGTACTTTCTCTCCCCTCCATATCGGGCCAATGAGCTCTGTTAGGTAGGCCACCAGGGATTTTTCGCCTTTTTCCAAGGGGGTTGGATAAGGACCGTCCGGTCCTGTTGCCCCCTCACGTTTATGGTTATTTTGTGCTTTATTTCCTCTTCCAAGGGGCGACTAAGGTTTACACTTCATCAGCCCATAGGCACTATCTCTACCGGCTGCGTTGCAGGAGACCAGCTAAACTGTTCTTCGATGTGTTCGGCCCAGCTTTTCAGGCAACATTTTTGTGAGTGAATCAATGAGCCACCATTTCCACTCAGCTTTTCACTGTTGCTTTCCTAGAGTCGACCGATCGTATCAGTTGACAGCGCACGGTTGCTTCCGGCAGCAAAAGCCTTCTCTATCTCCCGAGCTTTTGATGTTCACCAGAGCTCTCGGTCTACCCTTTAATATTTGGTATTTGATGGATTTGGGTGCGCCGTCGTACTTGTTGCCTGTTGGTACGGAGTTCCTAGTGATTTCGACTATATCCAGTGGCCATTTGATTGTATAAAAGTTGGACAGATAACACCAAACGCCGCTAGCGTATCTCCCTCGACATTTTGTCATGCTCCATCCACGTGCTCACAACCAGTACAGTATTGGTTTACTGTAGAGTCGTTAGGCTAGCTCAACTCTATACTGTTAAGCTATGGAAGTTCTTCGAAGATGATGGATCGGTATGTTTCTTGCCGACTAACGAGAGTCTGAAGGGGAATGAACTGCAATCACGCACCATGGCGTGATCGGAATCAAGTTATGGTCCGGAAGCAATGACAGTCTTGAGTAGTGGTTCTTCAGTGGTGGCTAATTGCCACGTGATTCAACTGAGTCTACGGTTTACTTGAAGTTAGTGGCGGCCAGGGTATGCAATGTAATGTGCTGAAAGTTCGTATTAGTCGGAAACAGTTGATGACCAGCACACAACTAGAAGATTCGCTCTCCGTTGTGTGTGGTGAGCATCGACTCCGAATCAACCGTCCAAATGCAATTCTGACCTGGGCATTCATCGCCCGTAAGGATAATAATATCAAAGCTTCTTGCTCAACCAATGAACCCGGATAACACTCGATAGAATGTATCCTCAGCGTCAGAAATGCAGTCCGTTGAGGCGTATACCGATATCGCAAACAGGCGCCGTTTTTTACGTCGAAGGAATGACCTTGATTGAGCCGTATAACCAGACGGCGCAAAGACGACTGTTTACTGGGATCCAATCCAGCAAAGCACGTTCAGCTGAGTCTGAGTGCAACCCCTACGCCATGTTCCACGGGTTATCGCTTCTGGATTACCGGACAAACGGATAAATGTGAAAGAGCTGAGCTTGTTCTTTGAGGTGCATAACCACGCTTGGGTCTTGCATACGTGTTTCGGAGACACAGCACGTTAATTTTAAGGAAGTATAAGGTCTCACCGAGCGTCCTTTATTCGACATACAATACGGGCGTTAAAAGCTCCTATATAGAAGGGATATCGTGGATCTACAGAGGTATTATTCTACTCACTGTTAACAGGTGGTGGTGTGCATAAAGCACATTGATCCTGTCAAGATCTGTCCCATTTTCGGACTTAATGACAGTAGTGAAGCTGTGAGCGACAGTCATTGGAGAATTAGGTGAGAAACTGAACTACGCCACTAGGTGGAACGCAGTTGGCGGAATCCCAACAAAAAACGACCAAGATGATTGTCGCTGCAGCACACTGAGATTCTAGATAAACGTTTTGCACCGTGCCATAGCCTTGTGAAGACCGTTTTCTCAGAAACAACAGTACGGTTACTTCAAAGACGCACAGAGAAGCAAAAGACGAGCAGGAAGGTTTTCCACTGTATATTGATAAGCGGATATTACAGCCGGGACTTTAGTGAGTGGATATAGAAGACCGATACCCGTCCATTGACCGTCCTAAACAAGAGAAAAGAGCAGATTGTGTAGAAGAGAGGTGATGTAAGCACATTTATTTGCAACATTCAAGAAATTCAAGAGAGATCGAAGCCTAGATAGAGCTAGGACGAAAACACGAGTTGGATTAGAATCGCCTATAGAAAAAATATAGGGGTGCGTATCAGGAGCGCGCAGACAGACGTGTCCTGCGAAAGCACACCATTCCATATTGCACCCTGGGACTGGAGTAAAGCTCAGGATGCCTGACCAGTGTGGTAACCAATGATTCACAGCAAACTGAATAAGGTCCCGAAAGCGGTGTTTACAGCTATGAAAACAACTGTAACGCGTGCTATTGATGATGCCATATGGGTCGGAATACCCCCTGTTCGATGCTGTTGGCAGTCAGCGTTATCAAATCTGTATCTTATTCTCATCAAATTCAGCAAAGAAAAGTACTTTACTGCCTAGTGTAAGACCTTGAAGAGGCAAAAATTGGTAGTGAGGGACCAAGCCCACTATGAGGTCGAAAGTGGGACATTTAATTTAACCTGACTAGGCCTTCAGGACGAAATATACAATGAATACATAGGGAAGTTACAGCCATCCTAAGCAGTTAAGCACTAGACAGTTTGTGCGGACAGAAATGGCTAAACCATAGATTATCGACTTGGCTGAGACACCTGGAATCCGACAAACGACAGTAATCTTTTGGATCGTTTCGTTACGCGATCTCGAAGCCAAGGGCGAATTCTAATACAAGTGACCTAAAACACAGAAGGAGCACAACGTTGAAGTGCGCTGATCGTTCTCCATTGATTCTTCCCTTAATGTATGTTGCAATTTTGTAGTTCCCCAGCGAAAGACCGGCAGACGAACCTAGATGAAAAACTGCCCAGCCTGAGGGTTACCGGGAAGACAACAAACTGACAGGAAGTTGTATATCGAGTTATCTGCCGAAGGGTCAACCTTTGACCTAGCAGAAGGGTATGCAGGCGGTTACGGAAAGTCCAGATACTGTCCAGAATTGAGTCCTGGCTAGACAAACTGCAAGATATGGCTTATGAACAATGTCAGGGTGAGATGACTCAGTGGTTAGACCGCAAATTTACTGACCGGAAGGTCCGTGGTTAGAACCCGACCCCTGCATCTCGACTAGTCCAGTATAGGCTTGGGCAACCTGGCGGTCGATGATGATGATCGGACAGTGGATGTCCAACATTGTGGGTCGGTTCCTAGTTTACTCGTATCTTCAACTAAACCGATGATTTGGGGATAGAAGGATATGGACTGCCCAGAGTAGAGGACATTGGAGGGGCACTAGGAGTTAACAACTGTCCGGTTATCAATGTTGTCGGGGTGCATATCAGGAGCACGTAAATGGGTACGTGTCCTGCGAAAGCACGCCAATTTGTATTGCACACTGGATTAGGAATAACCATTTAGGTGCCAAGGTGAAATCACACAAATAAAAATTAAGTAAAAACAATCTTTTCAACAAACCCTTTTGCACATCAATTTGGCTTTCATTAGACTGAAATGAATGTCTCGTTAATGATATTCTTAAACTGTATGTGCTGCACAGAGGCCGCTTCATGTCCAGTTGGCACGATAGTCCAGATATCGCAGTACATTTTTCATCAAGGAAAAATACTCACATGGATGCCAAAAACCTTGTCCAATTCAGGTTCAAGTAGAATATAAGGTTGAATGAAAGGTCAGACAGTGCACCATCATCATCGATAGCATGGCTTCAGTGTTTAACGATGCATCGTTACCGTACAACCATGATTTGTTTGAAAGCCCTATTGTGAAGAAAAGAATAAAGGTGACCGTGGAAGGGACTTAGTGCAAAGTTATCACGATACTTACGAAGTGACTAAACCTCCAGAGACTTATGCAGGCAATCTGGATTCAAACTGAAAACAAAAATGCCATTGACATCTATTAGCAGCCATAGCTTGCAGCGTCTCCAGGTAGGCGCAGTGAGAATCTCGCGGTTCCCATCCTTTGATGAGTCTCAAGAAGAGCTGAACGGTCATGGGCCGTGGAAGAGCTTTCAACAACCGTGTGAGTAGTTTACTTTTTAAGATATTATCGTTCAACTGTGCTCATTTGCTATACCATTCGAAAGAACCCAGATTGTCCAAGCCTAGACAGGAGACGAGATGAGAGAGATGGGGTTCGAACCACGGACATTCCAGTCAGTGAGTTTGCGCCCTAACCACTGAGCTATTCCGCGGTCATAATAATAAAGATAAAATATTTCAGGAACCGTGGGAAAATGTGCCATCGGAGACGAGTGATGATGGAGCAATAAAATACAGTCAAATCTTGTGGTAATATGCCACAAAGATAACAAGGAGTCTACGTACTGCGATCATCTTCATGCGGGACATTTCAGTTGAGAAATACCTGCACCGAAAATCTGGTAGCGCGATCAGGTTCTCCATAGGCCATTCGATGTACTTCTGGTGATAGTGATGATCAGTGTCTCATTTAAAATGAGGTTACCAGGTGGACAAGATATGATTAGACAAACCGATAAGGTGATACAGTAAAGTTCATTTGCTGTTGGTGCGACTCACCCTCCTGGGATGAGGTCCTCATGACCCTTTCTGCATTTGGCTGAAAACTTTGCAAAAGCGTTCGTGCTTCAACTTTCCCTTCAGATTATAAGAGTAAAATTTCATGGGTCAAACCACTTCCATGTCCTCTTTCTCATTTCCGGTTTTCTAGAGAATTTTCTATGACCAAGCATTAAGGTGGCGCTGTCTGTGGTGACGATGCGTCACCGTCCCTACGATGCGGCTAACACAGTGAGGCAGCACATGTTCAGTTGTGGTTATGAGGGATGGCCCATAGGGTTCGAACCACATTCCAGTCAGTGAGTTTGCGCCCTAACCACTGAGCTATTCCGCGGTCATAATAATAAAGATAAAATATTTCAGGAACCGTGGGAAAATGTGCCATCGGAGACGAGTGATGATGGAGCAATAAAATACAGTCAAATCTTGTGGTAATATGCCACAAAGATAACAAGGAGTCTACGTACTGCGATCATCTTCATGCGGGACATTTCAGTTGAGAAATACCTGCACCGAAAATCTGGTAGCGCGATCAGGTTCTCCATAGGCCATTCGATGTACTTCTGGTGATAGTGATGATCAGTGTCTCATTTAAAATGAGGTTACCAGGTGGACAAGATATGATTAGACAAACCGATAAGGTGATACAGTAAAGTTCATTTGCTGTTGGTGCGACTCACCCTCCTGGGATGAGGTCCTCATGACCCTTTCTGCATTTGGCTGAAAACTTTGCAAAAGCGTTCGTGCTTCAACTTTCCCTTCAGATTATAAGAGTAAAATTTCATGGGTCAAACCACTTCCATGTCCTCTTTCTCATTTCCGGTTTTCTAGAGAATTTTCTATGACCAAGCATTAAGGTGGCGCTGTCTGTGGTGACGATGCGTCACCGTCCCTACGATGTGGCTAACACAGTGAGGCAGCACATGTTCAGTTGTGGTTATGAGGGATGGCCCATAGGACAAAACGAGGATAAGGATTTCCCACTTTAAAACGAGACGATCAAAGGGTGTCTAGGAAAGGTTGTTACGATTTACGGTAATAGCGCAAAACAGAGCCATTCCCTGCTGGGGCGGGTAGCTTGTGATTACTTCAGGACAGGACTTAGACCAACCCATTGGATTAAAAACATGTCCCAGACACTCCAACAGCAATAAACCATGCATACTAACCCCAAGGAGGGACCTTCGCTGGAAAATGTCCTCAAATTAGGACTCTCCACGGGATATGAGATACTAGACGTTGGCCGACGAAAGAAGTCACTGTGCTTCCTTTCAGAGCGACATCTCATTATATTTTACTTGTCACTTGGGAAAATGGGAGTGTTTACTGGAGATAAAAGCAAGTCTCCCTAGGATGTCAGATCTAGTGATACAATATGGTTGTACGGCAGTGAAGCATCAGTGTCAACACCGACGTTGCTGTCTTTGATGGTGATGATGCAGTGACGCAATGACTAGGCATTTGTTGACAGTAAATGTAGCTGTGCGACACTAGACACGTGCCCAAGTTTGTCTGCTAATGTTTCCAATCCGTAACGTGACCCACCCGCCTCTCGGAATTAAAGAAAGGGAGGGGGAGTTGACAGACTAACCAGATGTACATGTTATCGCCTTCAGACTACCACCTGATCACAGTTAGACCATCTCAGTGCGCAAGGAACTCATGAGGAGGTCGGATCGTTTTCATTAGAACAACGGGACCAAGCAACGGAGTCCATGAGTCTCCACTGACTCATCACGAGGATCGCTCCGTTGAGATCAGTGGATTCAAGTAGTTTTGGGGAAAATCAGTAGTCAGACACGAGCGACACGGCTCATGCCACTACCTGGCATCTCGAACCGGCCTACTCTCATACGAAGATCATTGCAGAGGAAATGCCAACCACTTGGGGCGACGGTACACAGACTGACTGGTTGTTTTTTGTGCGTTGCTACAACATCACACATAGCGTAATTGTTTGATCTGGTGGAAGCCGGACAGGGAGCTCTGCATAGGAATCCCTGGACTGGGAAACTTAGGCCATTCAGTTTGGGAGCGTCAGACGGGCGGAGAACAAGGGTACAGTGAGATGCAGAGCAA